TCAAGAGGAGCATAGTGTCTAGATCTAAGGAAGTAATGCTCCCCATGCTCTATTCCGCCTTGGTTAGACCACACCAGAAATATTGTGTCCAATTCTGGGCACCACAATTCAAGAGAGATATTGACAAGCTGGAATGTGTCCAGAGGAGGGCGACTCAAATAATCAAGGGTCTGGAGAACAAGCCCTATGAGGAGCGGCTTAAGGAGCTGGGCATGTTTAGCCTGAAGAAGAGAAGGCTGAGAGGAGACATGATAGCCATGTATAAATATGTGAGAGGAAGCCACAGGGAGGAAGGAGCAAGCTTGTTTTCTGCTTCCTTGGAGACTAGGACGCAATGGAACAATGGCTTCAAACTACAAGAAAGGAGATTCCATCTGAACTTGAGGAAGAACTTCCTGACTGTGAGAGCCGTTCAGCAGTGGAACTCTCTGCCCCGGAGTGTGGTGGAGGCTCCTTCTTTGGAAGCTTTGAAACAGAGGCTGGATGGCCATCTGTCAGGGGTGATTTGAATGCAATATTCCTGCTTCTTGGCAGAAAGGGGTTGGACTGGATGGCCCAGGAGGTCTCTTCCAACTCTTTGATTCTATGATTCTATTACACATTAAGAACATGGGTCAAAATCTGTAAGTTCCATTTATTGTCATCTGCTGCCACCCAGTGGGCAGAAACACCAACTGCAATCACATCCAAAACTGGAAATACTATGTTGTGGAAGGCTTTCACTAGGTTGCTGTGAAACAATCAGGGCCAGCTAACACCTCCCAGCAAAGGACCCCCCCCCCCAGAAAGGAAGCAGCCAGGCTTTGAACCTGCAAGGCCATTCAATGCTAATGAAGGTGGCCTATGGGAATATTCACACTTGCATCCAACAGACAAGAGTTCTTTCTCCCACCCCGGACACTCCACAGATATATAAACCTCACTTGTCTAGTTTCCATCAGACCTCACAACCTCGGAGGATGCCTGCCATAGATGTGGGTGAAATGTCAGGAGAGAATGCTTCTGGAACATAGCCATACAGCCTGCAAAACTCACAGCAACCCAGTGATTCCGGCCATGAAAGCCTTCGACATGGATCTAATTCTCAGGATCCCTTGGCAGTGGAATTGGTACTAAACTGTGTTAACTCTGCAGTGTAGACACACCCCCACGTTAACGGAGGAGTTTGAGGAGGTTCTCATAGGTCAGGAAGGTCACGGCATTGACGGGAAAAGCCCGGAGGCTGTTGAGGGAGAGGCCCCGAAGGAAAACCCGGGCCCCTTCCCTCCGGAAGCTGGTGAGGAAGCAGTCCATGATCCCCCGGTATTCCACCCGCTTGACTCCGTCCATCTGCAAGCGGGCCTTGACCACGTCCATCGGGGTGGCCAGCGCCCAGGAGACGGTACCCGCAAAGCCGCCGGCGACCAGGACCACTACAGGACCTGCGGGGAAAAGAGAAGGAGACCTGTGCTTCATCCCAGTTTCCCTCTGAGACCGGAGAGAGTATTATGGGATGTAGTTTTGCTAAGGGCAAGGGCACCAGGCTGGATAATAAGGGTTAAGCCTTGGTCAGTTTGGTGTGTACCATTTAATCAAGGCGTTATGCCCTATTTTCATATGTTTATAGCAGAAGGTAACCAATTTATTACTGAAAATCATGCCACAGCAGTATTTGAATTTTCCCACCTGAGGCACACCTGAGCTCCTGAGGGTCCCCCACCTCACAAACTAGGGGCTCTCTTTCCCCCTCATCGATATTTCCCTTTATGGACCTTCCTATGAATAATATGAACTATGGACACATAATATATATTTCATGATTTCCTCGTGGCAAAGGCTTTTCCCTTTTTCATTGACCTTTTATTCCCCTAGCCCTGTTTTGAGACTTTTCCTTTGTCTCGCAGGCCACATGGCATTTCCTTTTTTTCAACATTCATTCATAGACTCTATTGTGTTCCCTCATCCCGCCTCTCTCACTCTCTCTTGATTTGCTGTTGCCACCAGGTGGCAGAGGTCTCCCCATTGGATCCTATGGACCACTGGAGCTTCCTGATTG